CGCTACCACGCCCGGCTAATTTTTGGTTTGTTGTAGAGATGAGGTCTCATCAAGTTGCCCAGGCAGGTCTAGAACCCGTGGGCTCAGGCAATCCACTCACCTTGGCCTCCCAAAGTGCTGGGATTACAGGCTGAGCCCCGAGCCCGGCCTTTCCTTTGACTCTTATTCAATTCAAACTATATATAAGACACTGTACAATGCCAGGCAGTTAATTAACTCAAAGTAGATCTTTCTGGATCATCAGAGACCCAGCACTGAATCTTCTGTTCATCAATCAGCAAATGATTATCAGCACAGAGATCAGCAAACTTGTTCTTTAAAGACTAAATAGTAAACATTTAAGGCTCTGTGGGACTCTGTCTCATATTTTTTCTTTTTCTTTCTACAGCCCCTTAAAAACCTTAAAAATAATTCTTTTCTCAAGGTGGGGCCAAACAGACAACAGGCCCAAATAGTTTTCAGATCCCTGATCTAACACTTACTATGGGTGAGGTATAAAGAAGTTGAAGGTACTGTCAGAGAAAACCAGAGCTAGCCGGGCTCGGTGGCTCAGCCTGTAATCCTGCGCTTTGGGAGGCTGAGGTGAGTGGATTGCCTGAGCCCGCGGGTTCGAGACCCGCCTGGCCAACTTGGTGAGACCTCATCTCTACAATAAATCAAAAATTAGCTGGGCGTGGTAGCGCACGCCTGTAGTTCCAGCTACTTGGAAGGCTGAGGCGGAAGGATCGCCGGAGCCCAGCAGGTCGAGGATGCGGTGGCTGGGAGTGGCCACTGCACTCCAGTCTGGGTGACAGGGTGACACTCCAACTCAAAAAAATAAATAAAATAAAATAAACAAATAAGAAAACCAGAGCTAATCAGTAAAGTGGTAAAAACAGGTTTTATTTATGAACTACTACAATAGGGGAAAATAGGTTTCAGCTTCAGTATAGAATTCCTGATTCCCCAGTTCTGAATACAGCATGGACAATTTTTAGGGGCAAGATGGGATTCTGGCAAAACTGACTTGACAGGATTTTTGCTGAAGGCAGGCCAAGGTGATCAAATACCAAGGGTGAGTGTTCCTTCTAAAAGGACTCAGCAGTAGTCTTGCTACAGCTGGATAGGCAATGCAGGCCCCACAAAGACAGATGACAGGTCAGGGAAGACGGCTTAGAGGAGCCTAACTAGAGTTGGTCAAGGAAGGTATCTTGTCAGTCCAAAGAATAACCACTTTCTGCCCTTAAGTACAGTCCAGAACTGCTGAATTTCCTTGATTCTAGGCCATCAATTATTTTCCTGTGCCAACCTTCTAAATAATCACTTCTGGGAAAAAAAGAGAAAACAATGCCACATGAAGGAAACATACACCAGTAGGAAAACACATTTCAACATCAGAAATGTTTAAAATGTTGCATATTTGTCTTAGAATCAAGGGAATAAATAACAGATATCATTTTTGAGCCCTTAACACATTACGTAGTTGCAGTCATCTGCAAGTAACACAGAACAACCCAAAGAGCCTTGAATGAGGACCTTCATTTTTTTTTTTTGAGTTGGAGTCTCACTCTGTCGCCCACACTGGAGTGCGGTGGCTGCTTCCGGCGACCGCAGCCTCGACCTGCTGGGCTCTGGCAATCCTTCCGCCTCAGCCTTCCGAGTAGCTGGAATTGCAGGTATGCACTACCACACCCGGCTGATTTTTTTTATTTATTGTAGAGATGAGGTCTCGCTGCCCAGGCGGGTCTCGAACCCGCAGGCTCCCAAAGGCGCAGGATTACAGGCTGAGCCACCAAGCCTGGCTGAGGACCTTCATTATTAACAAAAGAAGTCACAAGGCAGGAGGGCTCCAGAGTGTATGCAAGAGTCACATTTAGCCCTGGCTGTTTTCAGCTGCAGCGCTTCCACCTTAGTGTTCTCTCCTTGTCCTCTTATAACTTTCACTTGGTCTGGCAGAGGCCATAATAGTTCCAGGAATCTATACCTCATGATGAAGTGACCTTCTCTTCCTTAGATCTCTTAAGATGGACTAAGTTTTCCAGAAGCTCCTCCTTCACTCTCATTGGCCAGAGTTGTCTCATGTATCTCTAACCCAATCATTAGCAGAATAGTGGGAACTAATCATGATTGCTCCCAAGGTCTTTTAGCAAGTGTCCTGCAAAAAGGATGCGTATACCAAGTGACCCCTCGGGTGCTGAAGGAGGCCAGAAATCAAAGAAGAGGGCAGACAAACCCAGTTTGTTGGTATAAGATGTTTTTTTTTTTTTGAGTTGGAGTCTCACTCTGTCGCCCAGACTGGAGTGCAGCCGCTCCCGGCCACTGCAGCCTCGACCTGCTGGGCTCCGGCGATCCTTCCACCTCAGCCTTCCAAGTAGCTGGAACTACAGGCGCGTACTACCATGCCCCACTAATTTTTTAAAAATATATTGTAGAGATGAGGTCTCGTCAAGTTGCCCAGGCGGGTCTTGAACCCGTGGACTCAAGCAATCCACTCACCTCAGCCTCCCAAGGCGCGGGATTCAGGCTGAGCCACCGAGCCCGGCTTTAAATATATTTTCAATTAGAATATTTTCAGTTTACAATGGGTTTATCGGAATATAACCCCATCCTAAGTCAGAGCATCTAAATTCTGCTGAGGGAGTGTAAAAGGAAAAGATTTGGATCCTTATGTTGCAACTTTTGAGTACAAATTTCTGAGATTGGTATTATGGTGGACATTTTGCTGAGGGAGGTTTTCCCTAGACCTGTCCACTTGTTGTCTGGATCTGTTTCACTGTATACTTTCTTAGCATCTCAGAGCCCAGGTAAAAGTGGTTTCTTCTTCCTGCATGCATGGTCCTCTCACCTGTACAACTCACAGCACAACAAAGGCTTCTTCCCTAATTGCCTGGAGTTGATTTGCTATATACAGCAGAGATGCTTGTGGAGGACCACTTGGTAATCTTACTGCCTGTGTCTGGCTCTCTTCAGAACAGCATGATCCTCTCTGCTGCCATCTTCATCACCCTCTTAGGCCTGCTTGGGTATCTCCATTTTGTGAAGATTGACCAGGAGACTCTGTTAATCATTGATTCTGTTGGCATCCAGATGACTTCATCCTATGCTTCAGGCAAAGAAAGCACTAACTTCATAGAGATGAGCAAGGTCAAGGATGTTGTCATCAATGAGGCTATTTACATGGTAAGTATTTAAAAGGTGAGTATTACAGGCCTCTCTGGAGGAGGTAACCAGTCTGTGGGATGTTATGGGATCTAAACTGAGTCTTAATAGCTAAAGTATTTGATGCCACAGAATTAAACTTGAGGACCCTCTCTAGTACTTGTAGTATTTTCCTTTTTGGCTGGCATGTCTATGAACCATAAAAGTGAAACTTACACTGGAAAGTCCCTTTATTTTTAAAGAGCTGCAGCAGGTTTTCATGGATAGGGAGTCAGCAGGTCTATATTATCTTCTAGCCTGGCTTTAGAATCATTTCTGGGTTTTTTCTTTTCTTTTTTTTATCTTACAGATGAGAATATACTTCTCCCCCTCTTCAAAAGCTATCAGATATCCTGCTATTTAGAGATAGCTATTTGTGAAAAAGTTGAGCCTTCTCTGGAAGAAAAAGAACACAAATGAATTTCACTTGACTCTGCTATTTGGTTTATTTTCTTACAGCAGAAGGTGATTTACTACCTCTGCATCTTACTGAAGGATCCAGTGGAACCACATGGCATATCCCAAGTAGTACCTGTCTTCCAGGTGAGCTCAAGAACACTTTCACCTTTCTCCAATTAAATCCTCTGCCTTCTCCTTCTAAATAGCCTCTGCCACTTACATTGTTGGAGTATTGGAAGTTTTGTAAGATACCTGACAGCTATTTTTAGTGAGAATTGGGATATTAGTTATTTTAGAAGTTCCTTTCTGAGGCAAAGATTTTTTAAAAATAGTATGAATTCATGCACATTTTATAGAAGAAAATAAACATAGCAACTTCTGCTTATAAATCACCATTCATTTACTTGGACTCTGTAAGTCTGTTGTACAGTTGGTTTTTTTTGAGTCAAAGCCTCACTCTGTCACCCAGGCTGAAGTGCAGTGGCCGCTCCGAGCCACCACAGCCTCGACCTGCTGGGTTCAGGTGATCCTTCTGCTTCAGCCTTCCAAGTAGCTGGAACTACAGGTGCACGTTACCATGCCTGGCTAATTTTTTGATTAATTGTAGAGATGAGGTCTGCCAAGTTGCCCAGGCTGTTCTCGAATTTGTGGGCTCAGGCAATCCTCTCACCTCCACCTGCCAAAGTACTGGGATTACAGGCATGGACCACCATGCCTGGCTGTTGTATAGTTTTTTACATACGTGTTATTGATCTTTTCATACCTTTACACACTTTTTTTTTTGAGTTAGGGTCTCACTGTGTTGCCCAGGCTGGAATGCAATTGCATGCTCAGGGCTCACTACAGCTTTGACTTCCAGGGCTCAGGTGATCCTCCTGCGCCTCAGCCTCCCAAGTAGCTGGGACTATAGGTATATCCCATCACACCTGACTAATTTTTTGATTATTTGTAGAGATGAGATTCCACTGTGTTGCCCAGGCTGGCAGCAGTCCTCCTGCCTTGGCCTTCCAGAGTACTGGGATTACAGGCACAAGCCACCGCACCTGGCCTGTAACACTATTTTTGTGCTTGTTCTTTTTTTTTTTGAGTTGGAGTCTCACTCTGTCATCCAGACTGGAGTGCAGTGGCTGCTCCCGGCCACCGCAACCTCGACCTGCTGGGCTCCGGCGATCCTCCCGCCTCAGCCTTCCAAGTAGCTGGAACTACAGGCGCGTGCTACCACGCCCGGCTAATTTTTTGATTTATTGTAGAGATGAGGTCTCGCCAAGTTGCCCAGGTGGGTCTCGAACCTGTGGGCTCAGGCAATCCATTCACCTCAGCCTCCCAAAGGCACGGGATTACAGGCCGTGTTCTTTTAAATAACTTAAAAAACATATTTTCTACAGAGGCCATTGTGTCATTTTAAATAATTATATTGTCTTTTTCATCATACAGAAATAATCAGTTCATTTAGCCACTCTATTGCTAGCTTTTATTTATTTATTTTTTTTGAGTTGGAGTCTCACTCTGTTGCCCAGACTGGAGTGCAGTGGCCACTCCCGGCCACCGCAGCCTCGACCTGCTGGGCTCCAGTGATCCTTCCGCCTCAACCTTCCAAGTAGCCGGAATTACAGGCATGTGCTACCATGCCCGGCTGATTTTTTGATTTATTGTAGAGATGAGGTCTCGCTGCCCAGGTGGGTCTCGAAGCCGCGGGCTCAGGCAGTCCACTCACCTCAGCCTCCCAAAGGTGCGGGATTACACCGAGCCCGGCTTTTGCTAGTTTTTAAAATCATGCCCAGGTTATTTTTTGTATTGCTCTTATAAAAAAACAAAAACACTTTTATAAACATAATTATAATAAATTACTTTTAGGTAAATATGTATGTGTTTATATATACAGTTAACCCTGCCTTATTGCTCTTTTTTTTTTATTTTATTTTTTTGAGTTGGAGTCTCACTCTGTCGCCCAGACTGGAGTGCAGTGGCTGCTCCCGGCTACCGCAGCCTCGACCTGCTGGGCTCTGGCGATCCTTCCGCCTCAGCCTTCCAAGTAGCTGGAACTATAGGCGCGCACTACCATGCCCGGCTCATTTTGATTTATTGTAGAGATGAGGGCTCACCAAGTTGCCCAGGCAGGTTTCGAACCCGCGGGCTCAGGCAATCCACTCACCTTAGCCTCCCAAAGGCACAGGATTACAGGCTGAGCCACCGAGCCCAGCTTGCTCTTCTTTTTTCACAGTGGCTTTAAGACAGCCAAGCTAAAAAAATTATTTGGCAATATAGTTCAAAATTATTTTATTAAAGCTTATAAATCATCTTATAGATTTCTAGCATTTGAGATTGAGTTCTAGGGATTGGACAACTTTACCATACTTTGGGGAATTTATACTTCTTTTTCTAGTCTTGGGTAATAAGAGATTTACCTTTTTTAGTTTAATATGTAGGTAAAGGCATTTTAAAGTTATTAAATTTTTATTTCCTTTATGATACTTTTTGTTTCCTTTTAAGTATTACCTGTCAATATGGCCTCTTATTTTAACCTATTCATTTTCTCTATTAGTTAAGTAGACTCTTGATATTATGTATTTGAAACAGCTCTTTATATATTGGCAGCAAACATTTATTAAGTATACTTTCCACATTTTTCCCATTCTGTGGCTTTTAATTTCGGTTGTTACATTTCATTGTACAAAATATTCTTCAGTATTTGCATATTAAACTGTCCTTGTCTCTGAGGAGTCTCACACTTGTGACATTTCTTAAGAGGGTCCATCCTTGTTTTTCTCTTGCTGGCTCTTAAGAGAGGGACAGTGTGAACTTGAGACAGATTAAAAGCTGTCTTTTGATCTCTCGCCTCGCACAACTCTCAAGGCTGTGGCCTCACTGGGACTCCTGAACTTCTGCCTCTGAGCCCACACCTGTGCCATGTAGACCCTTGCTGAGGTGAGGTTGGGTACAGGTGGATGCAACCACTGCTCGTAGTTCACCACAACTCTGCATTGTTCCTCTCTGGAATAGAGTGCCAAGCCCCGGCTGGACTGCCTGATCGAAGTGTACCGGAGTTGCCAGGAGATCCTGGCACATCAGCAGGCCGCGTCAGCAAGCCCATGAGCCCCAGCTGCAGAAGGCTGGCACCGTCTCCATGGGAGGTGACTCTGCAGCCACAGTGGCTGGTTTATTTTCTGTCCTCTAAGCTGTCAGGTGGATACATTCCTAGGAACCAGTATGGATGTGGTGGATCTCAGAGCCATGAAGCAGGTGACTGGAACTCTAACTCAGTGTATTTCTGTGTATTAGAGTGCTCCTCTTATAAGGTTCTGCCTACTTTACCAGCCAAGGGGAGACCTGGAGAATTTCAACACTGTATGTCAAAAGTAATGTCAGCAGAGAGCACTTGGTGAAATTCCTAAGCACACTCAGGCTTACTGTGTGTTGATGTTTGTGGAGTATGACTGTGAGAAACTGATATCAGATATCTTGAGAAGGGTGTGGTTTCTTATTGCATCGTACCCCTGTATAAAATTAAGAAAAGTCAAGCCCTTCAGGTACTGGTTAGCAAGAAGTATCCTACAAAAGACTAATTTCTATTCCTGTGTTCTGTACAGGATTGACTTGACTTTCTTAATAAACAGATCTTCCAAAACACACAGTAATACCTGGTTCATAGACAGCTGCTTTTTATTGACAAACAAGATCATGGCATTTCAGTCATGGGTGTCAAGCACATAATACGTTTCTGTTATTCAGCATTTTCTATCATTTCAAAAGCTGCCTTTGCCAAGAGGGATGAAAAGGCCACACAGAAATATTTTGGTTTCCAGAGATAGGACGCTCATGTTAAATAAGGATAAATAAGCAAGCTCAGCCGGGCTCGGTGGCTCAGCCTGTAATCCCGCGCCTTTGGGAGGCTGAGGTGAGTGGATTGCCTGAGCCCGCAGGTTTGAGAGCCGCCTGGGCAGGCGAGACCTCATCTCTACAATAAATCAAAAAATTAGCTGGGCGTGGTAGCACACGCCTGTAATTCCGGCTACTCGGAAGGCTGAGGTGGAAGGATCGCCGGAGCCCAGCAGGCCGAGGCTGCGGTGGCCGGGAGCAGCCACTGCACTCCAGTCTGGGCAACAGAGTGAGACTCCAACTCAAAAAAAAAGAAAACAAAAAACAAACTCTAGAAGCCTTTGTTTCTAAGAAGTTTCTTCTGGAAAATTAATAAACTAAGGGAGAATTCCTGAAGGGTTGAGAAGGAGAGAGGGTAGGGGAAATTGGTGTCCACGTTTAATACGATCACAGCTCCATTATTGCTTACTCTCTTTGGAGTCCTAGTTTTCTCTTAAAACTCCCTAGATAGATAATATCCTTATTGACCTAAGAGACACTCAAGGTGTTATAAGTCCAGAGCTGTAATCTCTTTTACAGCAACCCTGCAGACCTTATCTAGGATCTTGTGGTACATGTGACACATTTGAGGTAGAAATGTCTTAGCTAAATCCCCAAGTCCTGGGGAGAAAGGTGTGAACAGAAATGGCTCTAAAACTTCTTGTCTTGCAAAGTCCAGTTCATTTAAAAGAGGCAGAGATTCTGATGTGCTTTTTTCATTATGCTTTTGTCAGTTTAAAGGGTAGAGGGGAAGCAAGCTGACAGTAGCTGAGGTGTTCAGGTAAACTAATTTCAGCCTTGCAGTTTTTGCTGTGCGTAACACACACATTGTCTGGCTTAAAGGCTTGTTTTCTGGATGCTACTGCAAAACCCAGAGTTTTCAGTACTTTATTGACAAATGGTAAGACTGCCTTAGAGCTATGAAGGAAAACTCAGTGTCTCAGTTGGAAATCAGAGTGTGAACTCTTTCGTCTTTTTTTCTCTCAGGGGAGGGTGTAGTCATAGATAAACCTCTCCTGTGTTTGGTTATAAGGTCTGAGTTGAGGAATTACGGTATTACCAGGAAGGCAAAAGGAGTAAGAAACGTTCTGCTTCTTTTACCTGATGCTTTTAGGCTAGGGAAGATCTCACACACGTGATCTGACCTCCCTCATTCCCAGCAGATGCTCACCAGAGTCTCCAGGAGCATGTCCAGACGCATGAGCCTGGACGGCCTTCTGAGTTCCAACTCATCTTCAATGGCCTCACAGCAGCAAAAGCAGAGTGCATTTGCTCGGCCCTTCAAAGAGCAAGGAAACAAACGATGGCCTCCGTGTCTTACAGTAGCCAGCACAGCCTTCACGAACCCAGTCCAGGCATTAAGATGAGACGGAGAAGTCGCATGGGACCTCCTGGCCCTTGCTTGGACATTGTGTGCTACAGGATCTGGCTCACAGTCCAGTGTGAGGAAAAGGAGCCACAGAGACAGGAACTGCTTCCCCAAAAGGGGCCCTCACCAGGAGAGGGGAAGTGAGTCCTTTGTTTCCAGCTCTGCCAATGCCTTGCCCCCTTTGGGAAAGGCAGTCCAGTTCCAATGAGTTCTAGGCTCTTGTCAGTTTAGGAGAATTGGAAATTTTAGTTCTGTTCAGAGATGTTCAGAAAACTTCAAGTATAAATCCCCACATAAGGACCATATACAACATAAAAAAATTAGCTTCCTTGAGAATATCAGTGCAGAGAGCCCCAACTTGTAGCATGATGCTCTTGGTAACCACACACCATCCCTGTCTATGTCTAGAATCAGATAGTATCCAGAGTCATGAAAAACAGAAAGTGGTTTTTACCCTGGGTCTAGATTTTTAAAAGTTGGGCCTTGGCACATTATAAGGCACCTAGTGACTAAAGGCTTCACAGACACTGAGATGCACATTTCACAAAATAAATGGGGAGGGGGGCTATTAGACCCATCACAGTAGTATCAGACCCCAGGTTATAGCTCTAATCCAGAGGCACCAGTAGTGAGGGAGGAGTAGGAGAAATATTCACAGCAACGTTGGCCCCTTGGAAGCACAGCGAACAGAAGCAAAGAATTGTCGTCCATGCAGTTCCCATGGCTGGTGAGGTGCAGGTGGGCTGATGGGCGGGGTCACGGTGGCAGAGCAGTGGTTCATGTAGCTAGCCAAGATGAGGGTAGCTTCTGCAATCTGGGAAGAAGTCAGGGAAGTGAAGTTACTCTCAAGGTTTTTACACTGAGTCTGGATTTTGAAACAATTGGGCCCTGACACTGAAATATAACATTTTAGTTACTCTCAGAAGGGGGTTAGGAACAATAAATTAGAACTTAGGCCAGGGCAGGGGTGAACACATGTAGTCCTAGCTACTCCAGAGGCTGAGATGGGAAGATGGCTTGAGACCAGCCTGGGTAACATAGTGAGACCCCTCCATCTCAAAAACAAAAACAGAACTTCAGTTTCCGAGCCTTTGTAATTGTTATCTTTTGCTGGTGTTTCCTGTACGGAGTAGGAATGAAGCCCTTAAGCAAGAAGTCTTTTTGCTGTCTTTGAGACCACACGGAAGGGGAGCGTGTGGAGACTGTCTCACTGTATAGCTGGTGCTGGGGCAGCAGAACCCAGGGATAAGGTGAGAACACATTGAGGATGCTGTCCTGTCTTGGGACCCATTTATGGAAGAAAAGGGCAAATGGGTACCCCAGGCCTGCTCAGTGCTGGGGTGAGAGAAAGACCCAAGTGAGAAGCACAGTGGTAGTAGCTAGACCGTGAGTGCCCTCTCTACCAACCAGCTCAGTGGTAATACTGAAGTGCTCATGGAAACCCTTTGGGGTGCTAATTACAGACAAGGCCACAGTTTTACTTGGGGCAGGGCCCTTCCAGAACATGATCATAACCCCAGTTTCTTCTCTAAGCCCCAAGCCTGCCACATCATAACAGATTAGAGTGAATGTTTTAGCGGCTGGCAGACCCACCTTGGAAGCAGCCATCCGGAAGACCAGCTTCTCAACACGGTCTTTTCTGGAGCTCTGGTCTGGAATGGATCTGATCACAAGCATGAAGTCATCCCTGCAGCCACCAAAAGTCATCACTGAAGAGTAGGGGTAAGTGACGTGCACTTGCTGTGGAAAGGAGCCAGTTAGTTGTGGGGAAACTTTCCACCCAAGGTAGGAACCATCAGCACAGGTAGCCTTAACCACAAGGGAGAACTCCCATATGGTCATAATTTGATGGTCTCCAACTTGAATGTCTCCAAGCTGTGTCTAGACTAGAGGACAGGGGTGCTTGGGTGGGGGTGGGAGTAGGAAACCATGGTCACTCAGCTCAGGCCTTAGAATCCAAAGAGAAGAAAACCTATGTCCAAGAGGAAGAGGAGGGATCGGGCCAGCCCTTGTCCCTCCATACCATAGTGTTGTGGTCCAGGATGCTGACCCCATCCTCATTCACAGCAATCCATACCAGAGTGTTCTCCTTGGGAGACAGCTGAGCAGGCTGGGGAAACAGAAATTCTATCAGAAATACCCACAGGTAGAGATTCTGACTACAAATAACTCTCTGAGAAAGAAGGCACATCCAGGGATCAGCCAAGCAGTGACTTCTAGCCAGCCCCACCTTGGAAAACAAGATGGTATTTGTATAGCATATGGAATAAACAGACAAAGCTGACATCTAGCCTTGGGGCTGTGGCCACCTACTGACCACCACAAGGGCGGAGGGGATCATTCTCTTGGTGTGCCCAAAATCCACGCTACAACAGTTTGCTTGATGGATGGCTCTGTGCTCCAGAACAGAGGACTGCCCTGGCTGCTGCTGGGGACATAGGGAAAGGCCATTCCCTCCCAGCTCTTGGAAACTCAGCACTTCATCTGGGCCCCCAGCTGCAGTGCATCTGGCTCCATCCACCTTCCTAGGGACTGCTGGAGAAATGGAAAAGCAGGAATGCGATCCTGTGGGCTTTGGGCACTGCCTAGAAGAAGGTGCCTACTTGACTAATTTTCACTGCCAGGGCTGCAGAAGGGTAATCCACAAGATCCGTTCCTTCTCGCTGGAAGAGAGGCAGGTGGATGTGGCACCTTTTTGAGGCATTTTCCAGCCTCCCAGACCAAGTAGGTCCCTACTGTATGCCTTTATGACATCTCTGTGCTTTTCCTTCATAGCACTTGTGACAGTTTCTCAAAATGAATATATAAATAGAAAATGCATATATATATATATATATATATGATCAACTTCAGTGAGGAGGATCACTGTTCAGCTCTAAACACAGGATGATGCCTGGGATTCTCTATAGAGTTCACGCACACTAGACACTCGGTCTGGTGAGACTGCTGTTGGCCACCTGGCCCTCAGGCGCAAGGAACTACCTGGGTAGTGCCACTCCCTGTTTGCCTGTCCAGCCAGCAGAGATGGATTTCTTCTGGTTATACACTGTTCTATCTTTCAGACTTTTTTAAAAAATGAAAGCACTCTGGAGAAGGATCACTGTATCAAACCTGAATCCTTGTGTGTGAACTAGCCAATCCTGTCTTTTCTTTTAGGGGCAGCGCTGAGAAACCAGTACAGGAAAGACAGAGATAAGAGTCCTACAGCTCTACTCTGGGCCCTGGAAATCTGGAGTGGGCCAGAAGTGCTGGGGGAAGGGTGACCCCTGGTGGCTGCTGGTGTGGAGGTGGGCACTGCAGACAGGACTGGCTGTAGGAGCAGCTTCCTTATGGCGTTTCTGTGGCTGCCCTCGCACCTATACTCACCTGAGCAGCGAAGAGCTTAGCACCAAAGAAAGGCCATTTCCGGGC